TCCGTAGCCTCCACACCTCCGCCGAGCACGATCCGGTGCTTCTGCAACCTTCGCGGCCGCGGTTTCAAACAAATGTTTGATTTTTTTTTTTTTAGACCTGAATGACGATAGAGTTGTTTCGATTTCAATGGTAGACTTGTTCTTTTTTTGTTTTTTAAATTCAGAAATGGCAAACTTATAATATAAAGAGAGGACTAAAGTTTATATGTCTTTTAAGACATTTGTTAGATCTTGATTTTGTGTGAAGGTTGTTTTAATAATTAAACAACTTTTCAAAGTTGTTTTAGTAATTAACCCTTCAACTTATTCTTCTCATTTTGGTGGAGGAAAATTTTCTTATATTTCTCTTCTTTGTTCTTCTTATTAACGTCAAATGAGTTGAAATTATTATTTTACACATTCAACTCAACTGGTGAATTTTGAGAGGAATGTGTTTTTCCTCTAAATTTTTTCCCTAAAAGTGCAACCAATTGCAGCCTAAGTTATAAACACATGACCAATAAAAACTTAATGTTGCGGAAAAGGATTCATTTCAAGATTTGTTAGGTTGAATCCTTAATATAATAAAACACAAGTGATTTCACAAATAAATGCAACTATGTACATTTGATATCTTTAAGTCTCAAATTCTTGTCTTTTACTTTTCTACACTAATTTCTCTATTATTATTTTTCACAGAAACAAAAACATTCGACTTTTCCCCACGATCGAAATCACTTCGATTTTTGAATTTATTTTCCTCCAATTTATTCCTCAACTATTCTTCCTCTATTTTTCAACTTCTATTTATGTTTGTTTCTTTTATTTATGTTTGTTTAAAATATTAAGCAAGTATAATGGGATGAAAAATATAATTAAAAGTAAACTTCATGAATCAAAACAATTACATGTTTATTGCATGGACTTTAGAACAAGATCAAATACGAATGGTCTAGAGCCAAAATTCTTTTGTTTTTTTGTGGGATATACTACCTACTTGATGTATTTCTAAAAGAAAAAGAAAGTT